TTTATTAAAATGGTCCAGGAAGGCAAACATGTTTCAAGAGGGAATAATACCCCAAAATCAGCATGAGCAGCTGCAAGTTCTAAGCAGGGTTTCTGAAGAAGTACTTAAAGGAGGTGGACAAAGAGGTTTTTAGAGGGGGTCCATGAGGTTCTTAGAGCCCTCATCATGAAGTAAATTGGCTTTTGCTATGAGAAGTGGCTATCACTTCCTCACTTTAATAGCAGGAAAACAAGAAGGAAATACCAGAAATAGGAACTGTGCTCATCTAAATAATCCTTGGTAACTTGCAGTTTCACAGTGTCATCTAGGTCACAAAATAAAAAGAGAAATAGAAAAATATACAATCCTTACTGCATCTCTGACCTTTGGAAGATAAAAATATGATTGTTTAAACAAACAGGAGGCAAAGCACAGTAAATGATATGCAATATAGTAATTTACACCACTGCACCAACACCTGGCTTGTCAAGCATGTAATTGTGGAAGATGAACAGATTATATTGTAATACTTAATGTTTAACTCCCACAACAAGATCATCTCCATATATGTACTATTAATTTGTAAAAAACGTAGTTATTCTTTTCAACTAACTTTCACTAATTTTTCATCTTAGAAGCATAATGAGAGTTCAGGTATTTGTAATTCCTATATGCTTTGCTTTTTTACAGGCCAACACATGGTACACAAATAATGTTCAGGTTTTAATCAAATCATCAAGGAATTGTTTATTCAAATCAACAGTTCTTTTGCATTTTTAATCAATTCTTTCAGTCTTGACATAAATCAAATTGACTGAAAGAAACATTTTCTGCTGGCTCTTAAGGAGTTAATTTCTTCCACCTGCAGTATTTCCTCTAAAGCAAGCACCAAGTTTATTTTTACAGCTAAATTCCTAAACAGCAGGTCAGTGAGGGGAAGGGAAGGTTTGCTGCAACTGGGACTTCATATTCTACTTTTCAGGAATGATACATTTCTTTGAGAAATACTCTGATCATTGAGTGTAGTGGCGGTTTGAGTTTCTGGCGAATTACCTTCACTGTATTTCATCGTATTTAGAAAAGAAGAAAGAAGCTACTAAAAAAAAAAATGCTGGCTTTAGAACAGTGGGAAAGGAGCCATAATTTTTCCAAGGTAAACCTCTGCTGTTACCTTCTGAGTGAGTCATCTATCCCCCCTAGGGGTATAGTTCACTTTCTGAGCTCTTAAAATAGACTTTTGTAATGGGTTTGTTCCTTCATCAGATACTTTCCTTCTGTAGCTGCCTTAAAAGGGCTTAAATTCTTCTAGTTACTGCCTGATTGCCTCATTTCATATCCCACATGTCTTCGGCAGAGAAGAATGTTGAAGCATTAGTTTTTTCTTCAGTAACAGATTTTAGCATGCAGATTTAAATGGGAATGCTGAAAAATACACGCTTGTACTTCTGATTGCATAGCAATTACTAACTGCAAAGGATGACTTCTCTGGTTAGAAATAGTAGAGCTAGCAAGAAAGCCATTTAGGGGCAAACCTAAAGTGGGACAGCTTTCAAAGCTTTGGTATTAGTGCTTACTAGTTTAAAAGGTGGAAGACGAAATCTGATGTTGTGAAAGGGGAGGTTAGCTATAATATTGACCGTAGTTTTATTAAAATGTCAGGAAAAAAAGAGTAAGAGATGCTACCAAACAGTGTTTGTGGAACTGGAACTGGTTTGTTTCTCATGTGTATCATGTAATTTAAGTTTGCATCAATACTTGCATAATTTTTAATATGTTTAGGAAGTGAGTTTTTTTATGTTGCAATTTAGGAACCTAAACAGTAATAACTTCCATCTGTGGTTTAATAAATTGCTTTTATAGGTTTTAATATGTCTGTTGTTATGGTCACTCTACAATATCTAAACTCTGTTGTTAAAAGTAATACTTTTTTGCTTTAATAATTCGAAAATGTGGGGTTTTTGTCTTTACTGCTTAAAAAATGTAATTTCACTCTATAATAAGGAGGTTGATAAATGGAAAAATGTCTTGTGTCTCTAGCTATCTGAAATAATTTCCAGGTGAGAAGATAGCACTGGTCTCCATATGCTGATTGTAAATCTCTTTCTAACTAGAGCATTTACATAGAGAGCACTAAGTATTAAATTACCTTTTCAGGAAATAAAAACAGCTTTTGTTAACATGGTCTGTGCTGTCTTGGAAAGCTTTCACCTTCTGCTGCCTGGCCCTGCCCTCTGGTGGGCACGCAAAGGCTGGCTGAGAGCCTGCTTTTACGTAAACTGGAAAGTTGTCTCCAAGAAATCTTACCTAATCTTACTTGAAAATCTTGAGATGTAAAAGCGTTTAGTTTTCCCCATTGTGTTTCAGTCGCAGTTTTGCAGTCCTGTGGCAACAGCAGAGATATTATCACATGTCTTCGGACATTAAAGTAAAATAGTAGGATTGATGACACTTGCATGTTATTACGGTGCTTTCTTCTTCTCATATGGTTGAAATGAAGGTCAAAAACGTGTTTTCCTGGATGCTAGTTTGCTTGCCATTTTTGTCTGTGATATTTTTAGATACTTTGAACTTTGCACAGATAGAGTATCTGTTGTATTTAATTCCAAGTTAAAGATTCGTGTTCCAACATATGTTTTCATTCTGGAACTTCTTGGCTGTTCTTCTGTCATCTTATTACAATCAGGGAGAGAGAAGTTTCTTTATCCTATTCAAAAAATAACTTTTCCATATTTCACTAAAGCTTTTCTGTCTTTCTCCCTGTGCCACCACTTGCACTTTATCACTCCATGTATCTTCCTTGCAGTTAAAGATTTAGAAATCAGTAAATGTCAAAAAGCCTTTAAAGATCTAATTTGAATTTATTACTGTTTAATTTTGAAGCAATATGATAC